TATATTGGCTCGTATATTTGTATCATGATATCGCTGTACCTGTATATTTCGTGTTCACACGAAATTATCAATGCTGTTAATAATTTCTGCCATTCCAATTCTATCCGTTAATATGAATCACATTCCCATTATGCGATTTGTAATTTTCCATGAAGAATAATGTACTGGAAATTCGATAAGGAATTTCGAGCTGCTTCTCGGTTTGGCGATTTACGGAACGGCCGTTCCGTTCAGCATCCGGCTCAAATGCATACGACATAATTTCTCGCGCGAGGTCGATCTACTTTGTAGATTTTGCGCTATCTTTAATTCTCATGAAATAAAATTATCGCGATTCACCGCTGGAAATTATGACGTTGCGGTTCGTTTAATCGCATCCGCGTATCGCGCGCGTCAGCCACTTTTTCTGCTTTCGTTTCTGCAACTCGACCGCCCACCTTCGCTCAAGATCATCGTCCATATACGTTCTATTTAATCGCGCTGCGAAGATTCATTCGTTTCATGCGAAAACTTCTCATGCCACTTGACATCCGTCTGTCGGTTTATTCCAAAAATGCTGTCAAGCATAATTCCTTCTCGCGAAAAGTTAAACTGAAAATCGCCCGCAACATCGAAATAAATTTAAATTACGCTCCTCCTAAAATCCTTTACAAATGCAAACGTGTTGAAGTTTCAAATGGAAGAAAAGGCAATTGAATTATATTGAAATCAAATCATTTGTTTAACGATTCAATCGAAATCGAAATTGATTGCGTATCATCGCACGAATGTACATACATCTTTTCGCATGTGACGCGCATCATTATCTAATTAGGCCAATGGAGAGTCTGACGCTTACAAAATCTATAATATCGAATCTCGATATTTGCTGTAATGATTGTACAAAGCACTATAAAATTCAATATATTTAATAAATCGCTATAGTAAATAGCAAAAGCTTGTCTACATCTGTAATCTAAGGCCAAACATATTTACGTTTACATTCAATATATCATTGCAATTAATGAGACATTGACTCTGAAAATGTTTCAAACAATTTGATTGACAATAAAAGTACATATCATTTTTATATTTCAATTCATGTAACATGATAAAAGATTTATATTTTATTATATATGAATGTGTATGTGAATTTATATCTTATATTATATATATTATTTTAATAAAAAGAAAGAAATTTTTAAATATTTTTTTCATTAAAATATGTACTCAAATTATTATTAAATTTATTACATATAATTGTTACATTTAATTGCAATTCTTGGAAAATTTGCTAACAAAATTGTAACAGGCTCTCTTCTTCATATCTCTTTTCAAAATATTCTCCTCTTTTAAAATGTTTATATCTTTATATTATTCTCTCGGTATATTTCGCGTGCAAGCATTGACGCATAACTCATGTTATGCACGTGCTCCATAGATTCGTTGAATTGGATCAAGAAAAGAGGCTATGGGAAAGATAGGAGTGCAATGGTACATCACACTGACAGGCATAGCTGTCGCCGCACGTCGAGGATGTTACTTTATACTGGTAATACATCGTTTATCTCGCGGTCTATATCTGTCGCAGCTACTCGGTAGTAGCGGCATAAACCATCCCGAACTTCCCCTGCGTCTCTTCTCCTGTTCGATACATTCCCTTACCGGCGAATTCCCTCAAAAATAGTAGGAAAAATACCGGGAGAGGCACCGAGCAAGATCCTTTCGTCGAGTATTATCGGTCACCGCTATTCGTCCTATTTTTGTCTTATTTTTGCGTTGATCGCAAAACCTAAATGTCGTATATTACAACGTTTTCTATCTACTCTCTTTACACATCATTTACCGTGCAATCTATGTCCTATCTGGTCTTTAAATTAGCGTAAATTCTATCGGTTCTTTGAATTCGAAATATATTTCTATCGCGAAAGTAACTGCTTGGATATCGCGTCGAATTTGCGTGAAGTCATTTGTGCAGCTGCAAGAGACGCATTCGAGGTCGTTATTACCGTGAAAATTAATCCATTTTCTCGGTTCATTAATCAAATTACGGTAGAAGTGAAACGCTATTTTCTCGACTCTTTAAATGAGCGCATTGCTGTAAAACTGTACTTATATTTGTGCAAATAACTTTCTCCTTTCATTAAAATTCATTTACGTTGGACATGTTCGACTTTCGAATAGACGTTTTTCAATGTAAAATATTAACATGAATGGAAAATCTTATTATTTTTGCACTCGAATAAACATAACTGTCGACGTATTCTACACGTCATTGCAATGTAATTAATAATCTAATAAATATGTTATTCCTAACGGAATAATACTCTTTTTTAATATGTTATTGTAACAAGAAATCAATAAAATTCAACAAACTATTTATACATCTCTTTATATGTATATACGCTGCATACTTTGATGTAATTTTCTACAATAACAATACAATCAGTCTTTGTAAAAAATATGTTTCCTATTAAAATCAAGATGCAAGCAAATTAATATTTTAGATTTATTTTTAATTTAATTTTTATTTTATTTGAGCCGAATCCTAACTATCAATTTTAACATTTTACAAAATTAGAGGATAGAATAACAAAAAAGAAATCGGAGAAGTTCTTTTCTTGAAACCATGAGAATATTTTAAATTTGATAATAAGAAATTTTTTAACAGTGTATGTTTTTTCATCACCAATATTTTCAATCTTAAATACATCATTCCTCTTTCGTATATTATATAAATAAGAAAATTTACTGGACTGATGCAACGGATGAGGACGATTCCCGAGTATTATGACGTAATGTATTATATAGTATAGCGATGCTCCGTTATTGAAATACCGTGCAACGAAGCACATGTCGCGCTCTAGACCCGTAAAACACGCGCGTCATGTTTTTGAGCTTGAAAACACGCAACAGCTGGCGGACGCATATGATGTTTCCCAGCTTTCTTGTTTATCATCAAGGTACAATAGCGATATCATAGATGCTCCTTTTTGCGAGGATCTTCTTAAAATTTTTTACACGACAAATAGAGGGATGAGAGCTACTCTTCTCGGAACAAAGTTCAAATTAAGAACGCTTCGTCTGATTCACGTGGATCTAGCACCAGAGAAAAGTTAAATCCACTGATGAAATAATTTTATTACTTTTTTTATTTCCTCGCCAGCCATCGGACTGACGCGAGGAGAGGCAGATTTATTTTCCTTTTTTGCGCGTGACTCTCGTCCGTATTTAATAGATATCTGTCTCTCCCATGCTAGTTTACGAATTATGCAATAGTGTTAATATCCTGTTTTTTCGACGATTAAAGAGGAATATTTCACATTTTTAAAAATTAATATAATCTTTATATACGTATTCTAAGAAAAATGTCATATATAATTATGTATCACGCAAAAACCATTTTTTATGCGAATCTCAAATATATGCTCATAAAACACAGTTTGTTTACTATATTAAAACTTTTAATTCAATTTTTCCCAGTCTCGTGCGCACAAGAGTGCAATTGCTTGTTTTAATTAATTAGATCCTCTTTCATTTCGTAAAATGACTCATATTCAACAACATTTAAATAAAACTATGTTGTTTCACAAAATACAAATATTTGCAGCCAATGAATTGTCAAAATTAAATTTTGCATACTGAAATGTACGTGATGTGTGCGCTATTGCAAAAATTTATTATTCTTTGCATATATATTTTTGACTCTACATAATTGTACTAAGATGTTAATAAGTTCAGTTAATGACAGTTACAATACAGGTTTTATGTTGTTACTATTATAATCGATATAAATATTGTCAATATATGATATAATATATATAAAAATTATATAATATTATTAATCGATCAATATATATGATTCTCATGTACTCATTAAGTTTAAAATAAATCGCGATTCAAAATATTGACAGTGATTTTGATTGACACTTATAATGTGAGAAACTTTTAAAGGAAGCTGTGAGATGAAATATTGATAATATTTGTATAGCAATATTGCTCTCATTTAGAAACTCTTTAAATGACAATATATATATGCGTTCACACGTAAAAATAATTAAAGTACATATATTAAGGAACAAAGGAGAAAGTCGATTTGTAAAACAAACATCAGTATGTGTTGTCACGTGCTTCCTTATCGCATAATCTGCTATGCTTCCAATTCTTTTCATTATTCTATTATAAATTTATAGTTTATTATTCTACTATGATTTATTGTGTTTTTTATTAATATCAATTTATTGCAAATTTTGTATTTATTAGGTTCTAATTTATATTAAAGATTTTTATAATTTTTTCGAAGAAAATATTCTTCTGAAGAATAAAGATTTGTAAGTTTCGATATTCTTTACCTCAACATCAATTTAGATTTTTTGTTAGTGGAATTTTGCAGTTTTTTCCACAGATGTTACCTATGCACTTCGCGTCCCGCGCGCAGATATCCGCGATTTCCGCAATCTACATTCTATTGCATGAACGTTGCGTAGGAGTACCGTCAGCTGTGTGATTCTACAGAAATATTGTGTGGATCTGTACGATATTTCCCCGGTTTTTATCATTCCCGCGTATCGTTTCACTCTTTCCGATGAAGAGTACCATTTACTCGCGCACGACTGACTCTGAACTCTGAACTTTGAGCATGAAAATATGCGCGATTTGTAGTCAGCTAAAAACGATATAGTTTGACACAAAAGATCGAGGTTAATATTTAATATTGATCTATAGCACGAATAGAAAAACTGTCCAACCTCGAAAATCAAGACTTTTTTTTAGATAATATCATATGTTAAGATAAATACAAGGACGAATATGAAGGAATGCTTCACATATAACATGTTTGTAAATTTCAAGCAAACTTGCTTTACTGTTCCTGCTTTTTAAAGATGAAAAATAAACCATGTGGATTTTATGAGAGATATGATTACGTAAATTACATCAATTACGTAATCGTATATAATTATTATGAAAAAAAATATTTAAATTATATCTAATATCTTTTAACAAGTTAGTGGAAAGCTTACAATTGATGAAAGCGCAATGAAATCGAAAGTTTTCTGTCATAACATACAATTGAAGAATCCTATTGAAGAACCAAGTAGTATCAAACGAATGAAGATCGCGGACAAAACTCCACGTGGTATCGCGCAATATTCTTATACGAAATTGCAATCGCTACGTTCGCGCAATATGAAAGTATCTCGACGCACTGATTCAGAGATGGCTCTCTGCATTTTCGTTATTGTCACCGATCACCATTGATTGCACTTTGACGAGTGTTATTTTTTTAATGCGAACAGACAAATTAAAATAACGCAACGAAAAGAAACCTCGCAAAAATCGAGATTTAAGCAAAGGTGTTAAAAACGCGGCAGCCGATCGCGATCTCGCGTTACTCGATTTTCACGCGTGAGATTCCTCTCGGTAAACGCGATTACGTTCGCGCAGTTTCGCGACTAATAGGGCTGCTTGCGACGTGAATGCTAGATGAATACTGAGGCACGTCACATCGGGCGCCGGGTTCCAATCCCCTTCTACGTGTGCCTTTCATCCCTCTTCCGGTCCCCGCTACCATCCCTCTCTGCCCCGCTTCCCTCCTTCATCAGACGCGCATCCACCCACGCAACTGTTGCGCCCCCGCCCGTTTCTGATCATCCCTCAGAGTTTTGCAAGTCGTTCGGCGAGCGCATGGTGGCGAGAATCGAACCACGTGGACGATCGATCGCGATCGTGATTCTTCTCGCGCGGTGGAACACTCGCGCAGATATGAATCAGGTTGAACGCGATTAATTATCGATCGTTACATCGGCCGCTAGAGTCATCACTAACAAAGTTATACGGCGATATTGCTACTTAAAAGAATTAATTAAATATATCGACCTTTCGACATTTCAAGCTCGGTAATAATGCTGCTATAAATTTGATTAAATCATTACTTTTAAAATGACAAACGACCTTAGAGAGGGTCGGTATGATTCCAATTTACTTAATCAACCTTTAGCTATGAAAGCTGGACTAAATGATTGGTAATTAGAAAATACATGAGATTTATAATATTGAATAACTTTTTAACTTTGTTCCCAAGTTAGCAGGTAAAATTTGCGGCAAATTAATTTATAAAAGCATGTATATGTATCTCTCTTTTTCTAGGTATTATTTATAATTTACGTATTATGGTAAAACATTTTAAAATTCCTATCTTCAACATGCGTATGAGATGCATGTTGAAACAAACAGAACGCTGATGACGTTTTAAAGCCGCGACATTTGTGGATAGTTACTGGAATTTGCAGGAAAATTGCAGAATACACACACACATTTTTCGCATAAATTATATCTTGTTAGCATCAGTTTAAATACTTTTAAAAACCAGATTTATTTTTATTTTCGATAAGATCATAATTTTATGTATGTGTATGTGCAGTCTTCGCTCAATTATTGCAACGCAATGTACAGGTGTACTTTTTTATAATACCTTGTCACTAACGAACTGAATCTTGATCTAGTTCCGCATTAAGCTTGTCTTAATTGCTTAAACGAGGACTTCTAGTACGATTCACGGTCATGATTAAGAAGGAAAAGACGCGTTAGGTGAACAAGAATTATATTTATGCGTTATACGATTATCTCGAGATGCACGCTAATTTGCTCGTAATTTTGAATCGAGAATCAAACGAACAATTTGTTTGCATAAGCAATTTTTTTGATGATATGAAATAATGACTAAGTTATTAAATGTGTATTTTTTTATAGTTTGTTTTTTTTCTATTTTTTTATTACTTGATTTTAATAAACTTTATTTATTGCATTTACTAAAAAAGATATAAAATTAAATATATTTTTAATTAATTAAATATTTAATTAATTAATTAATGCAATTTTTTAAATAATAAAGAAATTTTTTACAGATACTTTGTGTTGCAATTATGCCGGAATATCTAAATTATCCATATTAATGTGATTGCTTGATATTATACTTTTTTATTTTTAATTTAATTTTTTATTTATGATTATTTTTATAACTACTTCTTGTTTCAAAGAGATGTACACAGGCGCGCGGGAGCGGTTATGGAAAAACGGAAATATAGATTGCGAATAATGTGTTAATCGATTGCTAGCAGGTGTTAGACCGAGAGTGTGTCGACATTTTCGCTGCAAGGTCGAAGCCGTACTTTGTAAACTTGGCTCGAACGATGCATAAAACACGTTGGTGCACGTAACTCGCCTTCAGATCTTCTTTAACTAATTAGCCTAGATTTATTAACGGCAGTTTCGCAACAGTCGTAGGATTCTTATGGCCGGTCGTCTGTCGAGGGCATTTAATTAATTACACTCCTGTAGAGCGGCGATGGTAATAATGCGTTTGTAATTAGTCGCGTTTGCGAGCGCGTGAAATACTTATGAGCTTGTAACCAATGTAAGCGAGATCGACGGGCAGAACGTGCGAAAAAAATATTTTCTGTCAATAATTACTTATAATATTGAATTATTTCACATCGTCAAAGAATTACGCATTGACACGTGGTAAAGTGTTTGCGAAAAACATCAAATTTTATGTTAATTAAATTAACAATTAAAATCAACATTATTCTCCTTTAAGCTTTAAATATACAGTCACTAATATGTGTATGTTTAATTATTAATTAAAATTAAATATTGTTTGGATGAATGAATTTTTCTCAATATGAATTCTTATTAGATTATGCAGGAAGTTTCGTATAATCGCTAAAGAATTGAGATTGAAATGTAATTTGCATTTACGAAAAATGTTCCGAAAAATGTATTAAAATCACTTCAATAGTTTTCGAACATCTCAATTGATTCTCAGTCAAATTCAAGTGCGATTTCCAAATGGAATATGATCTCGGGACGTACAAGACGTGACGTCCGCTGACAATTTCATGAATAATTGATCGTATGCTTTAAGCGGACCGTGATGTATTGGCGGGGTATCGGTTTGCCTGCAAACAGAATATGCTAGCCAACCGTCTGAACTACTTGATTGATTAACAGTTTGCGTTGAATCTTGAATCACGTATTACAGTGTAATTTGTTTGCAATAGATTGATGAGTAATATTCAATACGTTATGATTCAATTGAATGAATTATAAACATTATTTATTTTGTATAAGAAGATATATCATAAGGAATAAGCAGGACACGCTGAATTTGTAGCACTTTAAAATAGACTATCGTACCTCGCAATCCTATTAAATTTTACTGAAATATCTCGTTCGACCTCTGGTTCGCAATTTTCGCACTCTTCGCTATCAATTTACCTAAAATCAAGAGTATTTAGATTAATTTGACTGAGCATGTCGGAAACGAGATTGAGGTGCGCGCGCGCTCGTGTGTGTACGTGTGTGTGTATGTGTGTATGAGAGAGAGGTAAAATATCTTATAAAATATCTAACGCATTTTGAAATAATAATCAATGTAAATTTATTTTTCAAAGTACTGGCGTAGTGCAAGTACATATTACATTATTTATTCAAATATTTTATTTGTTCTATTTTGCTATGCATATTTAATCTGCTGCATGCAACATTTTTTAAAGCGTATTTTACTGACTGTGATAAAATGAAAAACTGACTGCTATCAATTTATTCGCACTATATAAACATAAATCATTTATAAATCTGCACAAGAAGCAATTAAAAAGTATTCGTTTTATATAAATCACCGGAATAATATATTAAATTATATTAAAATTAATTAAAATTGCATATATTTTTTATACTGAAGGATGTCGCAATTTTCATAGATTAATATGTATATAGAAATAATCCATAAAGGAGCAAGGTGACTAATATTACGTAATGAATATTTAAATGATTTATCACGCGAATCACGTCCGTGCATATCACCAGGCGTGGTAAATACAAATTTTGCATATACTATTTTTATAGCCTTAGATTGCGATATAGACACTTTCGCGCTTACAAAAATGATTTAGGTAACAAAATTATATAAATTATAAAAATAAATATTATCGCAGTGTACTAACGTATAAGATATTTAAGCTGCAATTAAAGCTTCATGATATTAAAGATATTTGAAATAAATAAGACAACACAACATATTATACATAATATTTTTTCCGTAATATTTTCATTTATAGAACTTGTATGGAATTAATATTTTTTTAATATCGATATAATTATATTATATTTATAGACACATTTTCATCATAAATGCTGAGGAAATGAAAATTCATGTTCTATTTTCATAAAATCCATATTCTATTTTTGCAAACGAGTTTGTGAGTAAACAAATTAAGAACTAGGTAAAATCATATACGGAAAGATATCTTTAGCGTTCCGTCGGATCAGCTCATTAATGATTTTCTTCTCGAGTAGCTTTCTTTGTTCCGCCAACATAAAAACTAGAGAGACGAAATCTAATTTCTTTTTTTGCAATTAGGAGTAACTTAAGAATCATTTTCATTTGATAATTCTAAAAATAGAGCAATATTATTCTTTTGAAAAGATTAAGAGTGATGATTTTCTTATAAATCTATGACATTTATTTATATATGTGAAATTTTAATTGATATAAAAAATTAAAGAATTTGTAGATAATTATCATCACAATCTTTTACAAATCAATTTTATTTTACACTCGTAGAATACGATACAGATATTAATGTTTTCAAATTAAACTCTTAAAAATTATGTATTTATGTCGATATTATTGCATAGTTTCATAAAACTTTATGATATAAACTGTCAAATAAATTATCTGCACCAGTAATCTTCTCTTCTTTCATAGAGATCAACTTTCGTTCGATCGATTAATTGCATTAGTCGACGAAGATAAAGCGTGGCTTTTCTACAAGATGAATTTCCGTAAATGTATCGTCACGTTGGAAATTGTTGATTAGGAAACTTAAAATAGATTTTAACTTCACATAATAAACTTTTAATGAAATCAAATCATACGTATCATAATTATCTCACAAATTGTTACAAGTATATCTTAATTTTATTGATTAACAGAAAACATATGTTGAATTGCAATTTAACTTTTTTTTAAGTAGTTTATAATTATTAATCTTAGATCTAATTTGATAGATTGATAAGTGTTTTGATAGTTACATGTTATTGGCATTATTTATATTATTTGTATGTTGTACTTTTATAAAGCAAATTATAATAATTAATGAAAACGTTAATAGATAGTGTAATATCTGACAACTTTATTACTGGTTTTTTTTATTATAACTGTACGAGGAAGGAGGATTTCGTTTTATTTCATAATTTGCCAAGTCTTATTGCACTACTCTTTTTAATATCGATCAAGTCTCGCGACTATCATGAAAGTGTTTAGCACTTACATTGACGCAAGGATCTTTTAAGAAGAAGCAGCGATGAAGTTTGCGTCAATGATGAAATGTAATTACGAGGAATTCTAACGAAGCTGCCGGCTATGCCCTGGGTGAATAGGAAGGGAAACAACGCTTTTAAGATTATAATGAAAACTGCCATAAACTCATCGTAGACCCTTTCTTGCCGTCACTCGATTTCGATTTCGTTTTAATTGCGTTTTCAGATTCTTCTTTATCTTTATTATTCTGGATTTACTTCAATATTGTATTAATAGTCGTATATTAAAGCGAGTGAGCATGTGTTTTGCATATATTTGCATAAGATATCTGGAGGTCTTCTTCTATAAAAGCAGGTAAGAACAGGAAAATAAGTAGTCAATCTACTTACATATATTTTACATATCAATATGTGTTTAAGCAGAGGAGATTTCTGGTATTAGATATACGAGTACGATAAGAGCGATCGTTATTCTCGAGGCAAGTAACATACGCATCACGTCTAAGTCACGCGATTAACAAAACCCGACCTTCCTCGCTAGCAATCCCCGGAAGTAGATGGGGACATTTGCGAGTCGCGCTATCGTCCAGCATTATTATTGTTGTGAGAAAAACAGATAAAAAGACGTAGCGCCAAATCGGAGCGCCGGAAGTCATTACGGAAATCGGTGGCTACCGTAACGAGGCCATTGCCGGTGTACCTTCTCAATTACGTAGGAAATTACCTGCATTCGCGAGCGTTCTTATCAACGTTATTCCCCCCTTCCTTTTCCCCCCCACCGTGCTTACGATGTGCGCGAGGAAATGTTGCGTCGTTACGCTACGCAGAAAGACACTTTTTTGCGGCGTTCCCCGTAGAAGGATATCCGGCGAACGATTAAAAATAAACAGTCACGGCTGTCCTTGCGGACCGCGGTCATTTTCGCGATTTTCACGACCTCGAGATTGATGTTTTTTTTTCGTCATAAAATACGCCTTCGTAAAATTGCAACGCGGTGTACGATCGTCTAATCGCTCGGGTGCTGAAATCGCGAAACGCGATTGCATTATTACTCGCATTACTCCTCACGTTCTCCTGTCCGCGACACACGCTCGAATAAAAAATCTGTCGAGAGTGCGGCAAGCACATCGCGCCACATACCGTGCACGATGCACCGACTTCGATCATCGACCTGCGTGCATACATTGCGGATCGGAATGCATCTCTCGTCACGTAAATGCAGGTAGAATCTAATCTAAACGCTCGAAGATTACGCGATAAATGAAGAAATTTGCATTTTTTTAATTTTAGAGAAATTTGATTTATCTTCATTGATTTATATTATTTAATTATTCGCTATTTTAATCATGCAAATCTTATGTTCAGAATTCTCTCTCTGTATCATATTACTTCTGTCACATGTTTAATGTGAAATTCGAGATGGAATGATACAGATAAATGTTATTTTTATTACACCGCATAGTTCAGTGACGTAATGCAGTCGTAATCATACATTCTTGAAATTCGAAGTGAGTATTATTATTAGAATAGTGCTTAGAATGTTGTGAATATTCTTAAATAAATATTCAGAAGCATTTTTCACCTTCTGCAAAGTAAAGCATTCTTATTTCACAATATATGTGCTTCATCAGTTATGTAATCATAAGTGGTTTGTAAAAAACTAATTTTATTATTACACTTTGTGAATGTGATCTAAATTATCATTAGTCAAAAAATTAATTGTTTTATATAATTATGATTCAAAAATATTTCGTTATTTTGAGAGACAAATGAAATTGACGTAAATCGTTCTGTATAATCGTTATTTATAATTCAATAGCGCTATTAGTATTCTTCGCGCACGTTCGACAAACGTCACTGCTTTAAAATGCAATCGATATCGTATATGCTTGGCGAATGTAAATTGTTTCGATTTACACAGTCAATTGACAAGACTCTTTGAGGTAACAAAAAACGTTGGCGTCAAGTATGCGTGCGAATGTAAACCGATACGCGACATTATTATATTGCATCAAGAAAACAAAAATCTCGACCTACCAAAATATTACAATTCATCTTTCGATCATTATAATTGGATTTTCAACATAGTTTGCGTTTAATTCTATATTTTGCCGTTAAAATAAAATTACATTTTAAATAATATATGAACTTTTATATAAACGTCAAAGTTTGCAGATTATAAAATTGTCATTAATATTATATCATTCTATTCTATAAAAATAACATATTAAATTTTTTAACAAAGAGAATTAAAACGTTTGAAAAGTTTTTCTTTTATATAATACACATAAACTCGTGTATAAAATTTTTTGAAATAATATTGAAAGAACCAAAAAGCATGTTTAAGAATAATGTAAATATACAAGTGTAAAAGATGAAAAATATTTAGAACAATCTTGAGAAATTATTCTTGCGGTTCAATAATAATGAATGAATTTTCTTAATGTGAGTACATTTGCGTCTAACTGCACTAACGGAACAGCTGATTTGCACGAACCGTTGGTATATCCGTTGATAAATCATTAACTTCAATGATAGCAATCAAAATCGTTTCAGTCGAGTACGAGAAGAGACATAATGCAACGAAAATATTCTTTTTTAAATATATTGCGAGAAAAATAAATGTATCTCATTTATTTGAGACAATGCGATTTCCTCTGTCTCTCGGAAAATCTATGCAAAATTATAGATATTTTCATGAAATTATTCTTATTGAAATTACAGAGTTGGTGCAATTAGTAAGAGCATAGAATATAATTATTTTATTATTAACAACTCGTAGATTTAATAAGCGAAACACGACAATAGGAAAAATATATACAAACTACCTCGGTCTTATATTTTTCTTAAGATTATATTCCCACGTGTGAATTAATATTAACGTCATAATACTTGACGTATTTATCATCTTTATGTAACGTGATAATAACGTTCATAAAGCTTACATCTCAATTTGTTTTTATTTCATCCTTCACAGCGCACATCATGCGATATCTACAGACGAATCGCATGATTTTACAATTTTCTCATTGAAAGCCAATACGACACCGTACATTGCGATTTCTCTGACTTCTCACGGTCATTCGATAGTTTCTCCTCTTAAAGTAGAATCTCTTCTCGCAAGGTCAAAGGACAGCGATGCTGTTTAGTGACCCTATTCGATTCTCGTAATTACCTATGTATGTCTGTCCTGGATTCGGAAATATCCTTAGGCAGCGAAAACATACCCTCAATTAGCGTGATAATTTCCTTCTTAACTACTATGTTTACAATCAAGAAATGCAAAAAGAAGATTTATTATATATATTATATATATTATATTATTATATATATTTGTATATAATTACGGTAGCAAAAACAATGAATTAAATGTGTGTTTTATATATGATTTAAAAAGATAAAATATATCAACAAAACTTCATATTGTATGTATCTAATTGAAATCTAATTAACTTCCTAAATAAAAAATAGCGAAATTGCTATAGTTTATTGAAAATATATGATTTTACGTATCTTGTTTTTATTGTTTCATTTTAATTGAACTAAAAAGAGTTGCAAATAAAATATCAATAAAAACGTAAAGATGTAAAATATTTTCATATTGCATCTGTCTCATTAGCGTCTTTAATAGAACTGCAAAACTGATTGGATAGATTTATTATAATAATACTCGCAGTTTTCTCTTTCTTTCTCTTCTCAGCATGTCCCTAGTCTTTCGAGATCCCGCTGTTAATGCATAACTTTTCTCGTGCAGTCTCCAACACTTTCAATCCCACAATGCAACGATGTGCATCAAGCGTAGTCATGGCCACGTGGTGGTTTCTCCGCAGGAAGCCTCGTCCTCCAAGGTCAGAGGACAAAACTCTTCTGCAGTAACCCTATCCAAGTTGCCAATGTCCGCTTTAGGCTTGAATGGCAAATCCGATACGAGGATTCCTTCTTCGCGGATTCTCTGATTTTCCTCTTCTTCGAACTCTGAAAAATCATTTGCATCGCTCCTGATCTTCGCTCCGGCGAAATCAGCATCCGTCAGAACGATTGTATTTATTCTTCGTTTCTTCGACTTTCCCTGCGATGTTTCTCTCAAGATTTCCTTCGACGCTTTCGATAATTTCTTCTTGTTGAGACGACATGAGGACGACTCCTTGATCGCTTCATTCTCATGATTGCCGTTTCGATTGACAACATTCTTCGGTTGGCGCTCTTCGTCATTCGCGTCGTTGCCGTTCAATGATTTCCTACTTTCCAGTTCTGATCGACCTAGAAAAGTCTTCTCCTTTACCTTTTTACCGGTGTCGGCCGCGTTTTCGCCGGTACCACCTGCCACCGACTCTTCCGACTTTCCACTCGAAGCTCCGATTGCTTGCTGACAAGTGTCGACCGAACAAGTCATAGACAAGTCAGGACCGTAGGTCTCCGCGATGTCGTGTTTCAGACTCGACTCGATGGTTAATTCGCTCGGAACGGGACTCTTATCGACGATCCTGATGCTTTCGACTTCGACTTTCATTTGCGGATGCTTGTGATATTCGTTCTGTAAATAATCGCGAAACTGGTCCTTGAAATAACCATCGATCATCCTCCATACAGTGGCGCTATACCAGCTTAACACGCCGAGTAGGACTACACCGCGAACAGCAAATGCTAACATGATAAAGTCCTGTTTGTAATTAATTAACGAGATATAATATACAATATATATAATTAAAATAATAATGTGTCTCAAATATATAGATGCATCATAATTTTATCGTTTACCTTAGCAAGATCGATACGCAATACGTTGTTAAGACTATATTTTTTCTAAAATTTAAGTCGTTGGATTTCAACATTAACTTAAAATTAAAATTAAGATTTAATAACTGTGTTTTTTTATTCGCTTATTTTGCTAAAAGTTCTACGTCATTTTTATCCCTTCAAGTTCTAGAACTTGCAACAAGAAAACTACCGAGAGACGAGCTTTATCTTACACAAATATCACGATCTGTGCATCTGACTTTCAAATGCCACCTGAAAAAAGTTCTGACAGGCGTCTGTATTTGTAAGAATATTAAATCTTTTGAAAGCTGACTATTATTTCTCGCTTACTATCCTATAGCTTTCTCGTTAATCTTAAAATACTACTACTTACTATGAGATGAAAATATAGGATAAATTATTTACATCCTATTTATACATAATTAGCAATAAATAATATTTCTACAAAGTTGCAATCAATCAATTTTAATAATTATTTGCCATTTTTTATCAGTTTCGATATTTATCTGTTTTAATATTAATGCCAAATTTAAAATAATGCTCTAGATTTCAATCAACGACATAAAAAATAAAAATGAAGTCAACATAAAGATATGTAATAATTATAATAATAATTGTTAAAGATGTTGTCTTATACAAATGCACTTGTTTTTAAAACTGATTTTTATATAACTATTTTCAAAGTATCTTTCGTTGATTAATTTAATCTTCTTCTCCTACGAAATAATCTTTGATGATGTTGAAGGATTCTTTCATATTCGGCCAAGCCATAGTTACAAAGACCAAAATCGAATTTGCGATTACGAAGAGTCGCATCATTTCGACACCGGTGCTGGACCGAAGCCAGTTCCCGAAGCTTTGATTGTCATCATCACTCACTTCTCCTGAATCTGACTTCTCCGTTGTATTATTTGCATTCTGACGACTCTTACTACCCTTGTTCTCATTGTTTCCGCGTTTCTTCATAATGACCATGCAGCGATCATCTGCAAGTATCGATTTCAATGTTGAACATCGTAGAAGTATAAAGATGCTCCGCATACTAAGTTGCTGATATGTAATGAAAATAATGTTTTTATTAAATAGATATGTAATGTTTCTATCGAATATTATCGTGTGAAATCGAGAGGCAGAATTATTTTTACATGTGCCGAGAAAATTAAAGAGAGCCGCTGAAATATATATATTATGAATTTTCATTAAAACCGCTTTTATACGTTCAGAATTTTGATTTTGTCTATCCAAATCGAGAAATTGATTATTATGCCTCATTAATTATTATTACCACCACGTAACATTGATTATCAATTAATAATTTAGGTCGCAAATTTGAGGGAAGTTGTCTCATTACGTAATAATTTACGATAATCGGCTTCAGAATGAAGCCGATGTATGTGGGATGTAGTGGGATCAAGAACATCTACACACATACTCTTGCCTCGAAATACGCGTATGCGTGAACACGGCCGCACGCGGCATTCCTGCACACAAGAGAAATACGCATACTTGAGAGTGGGTGCGATGACCATCAACGGATCAAATTTCGAGTTTACGTTAGGAGCTTTACATTTTTTTGGGGTCTTTTCGACTATAAATCGACTATGTGCGAGATTGAAATTATTAATTGAAAGAATTCATGATCGAAATAAAATATCGTAAATATCGTAAAATAATGGCTTTAATTTATGAAATATTAGGTGGAATTATTTTAAAGTAATAATTTTATATTAAAATCGCGTGACAAAATAAATTAAAAGTTTCATTTCACAAAACGCTATTATTCAATACTATTTATTACAAGGTGGTCAAGAGTTACAGAAATTTGCAATTCGTATAATGTTTGCTCACATTAAGTGCATGCGATTCAAAGTTCGCTAATGTTTGCTCGATCCGTGGCAGTTTAAGCAGCTTTAACAACTTTTCTATTCCTATCTCGCTCTCTGTACCTTCGATCGAGAATGTAGAAAAGAGAGCTACAAAAACGACATGGGTTCTGACATGGGTTCTGACAGATCAAAGTTACATTATCGAGCAAATTGCAAAGATCGTAGACTCATTAATTTAAAATCAACAAAGGACAGCCTTCAGAACACGATCTCCAAATAACATTCTATTTTTCGCTTCTTTCCGCCATTTTAATCTCTCGTTTTGTCTTTCCAATGACTGACTGTCTGGTTACCAAAATTTGACTCTATTGTTCACAGTCCAACGACGAATAATAGGGACACAATGACTCGCAAGCTCGCTCGACGAAAATGGGCGAGTGGCAAATTTCAAGTTAGAGCATATTAAGGCCAACGATTGATTGTAATTGTATTAGAGAACGTGCCACGTCTTATCGACGCTTTCATGATTCGTAAAGGGTGGGCCGCGCCGGTAGAAGCAGAGCGAATCGATAGACGACTGATTTGTTTCAGTTCACACAAACACTCCGACATCATGTGCCTCGTCACGAAGAGTAAAAGGCCGATAAAAGTTGTTTGTTCACTGTGAGTGGCGAAATCGTATGAAATCATGACTAAAAACGTTACATTATAGACATCGGAGTCGTAAAAAAGTTTATTGCCTTTGATCTATAATAATCAGAATAATAATTATTAATTATTTTAATAAACTAATTCTGATAAAGTCATATTTATGACAGGAGATATATTGAGAACGTAATGAAAAGGAAAATCGATCTAGGTCCATTGCCGACTGTTACCAATAGTTGCATAATTGCTCACTTCATAATTAAATGAGTACACGAAGGAGGTATGTTACGTCACGAACGGTAAGTTGGTCACTATGAGGTAACAGTACAATGTCGTTCAATGCTCCACTTCCAAAGTCGTCCGTCGCGAATCCAGTTTGAAAAGTTGGCTCGATCATTATTCCTATTCCTAGGCATCGGTACACGCTTCTTCTGTTATCGAAAAACGATCGATGCGCGTGTAAATGAAAACTACACGTTATAAATTATATATAATATATAATATATATATATATATATGTATGTATATAAAAGAAGCGAAATAAAATTCTAGTAAAGTCAGTTTAAATTTCTGTGCACGGGGGACCACTTATTGTGCAATCTGTACGCAATAAAGTAACACGAAACGCAGTTGCGAGGAACGGAGCTTGCGGTCAATGAACGTGGAAATTGCAACTGGCGGGACAGTTATCGGCAAAGGACAGCCCGGAGCTGCTCGCGATCATTTCTATGGAAAGTGATACGTCCGGCGAGCCCTCATTCTCGGTGCATCCCTCTGCCGTAAGTGGGGAATCACTCTGTTGTGTGCGTAGTTACGAAAGTTTAATCTCTCTATCGTTGCTTTCATGCATCACACATAAACGTAGTTCGCGAGCTCAGGCTGTATCATCGAATCAATATTATATCTCGCCTCATCAAATATTTGGCTAGTTATAATTGAAGATGAGTTTGTGAAGATGAGAGAACACTACCTGACTTTATCAACTTTAACGTTAACGCGTTTATCTGTGAAGTTGCGCTAAAGATTATCCCACGACTAAAGGTTACTAAAATATAAAGAATATTTCATAATATCCAATCTTAACTTAACGATAGATATTTTATTTAGATATAATAAATATTTAGATATGTATTTTATTTAGATCTAATGTATACAATAAATATTTATTAATAATAGTAATAATTCTTTTATCAATTTTAATTTGTTTTTAAAATGAACCAGGATATTTAAAAAAAATATAATGAAATATTATATATATGATTATATATTTCTAAGTAGGATAAAAATTAAAGTTTACGAAAAAAAACATTCTTTACTACCACTTTAATTGTAATCGACAAGCTTACCGTGTTATGTTGATCTCTGCCGACAATCTATCAGATATGTGTGAATTTGTTACGATTCGGTTCCAAGTAGCTCGCTTTTTTTACGTCTTTTTATGGAGCATGAAATCCCAACAACGTGACCTACGCAACAACTGCCAGCAACGGTTTGCCACTTTTCGCGTCTACTTTGCCACGAGACGTGCCAATATAAGACTTCTCGGCTTGATAAGCTCATTATAAGATTTCGCAGCAGAGCCGAAGGTTCTCGAAAGCTCGCAAGACACGTGATGACATTTTAAAATATCTCCAGTGAATTTAATACTATACAATTCCTGTATAAATGACCTATCGTATTATAGTCTTTATGTATAATGCCGTATATAATCTCCTGAATGAATTTTGAATATATTTACATTACATTTCGTCACATATACGTGACGAAAAAATCGTATTAAATATTATAATACTATAATACTAAACATTGTGACTAAAATGACCCAAAATCTGAATAGATCTCTTATTTATTTCTCCATTTATTTAAATATAAAAAATATGCAATATCTTGAATAAGGGTAGAGACAAAGCTTATTTTAAAAGATAGATTATTCGCTATTAGATTTACATGAAAAATCAGCTATATGATGAATCGGAAAAGGACGCAAGCAATGCAAATGCAAAGCTGTTTTTAATCAGATTTTTTTCTCGGATTTTCACTGTAAGTTCAATAATCAAGTTTATCTTGATTCTCACTAGTATATTTTTCTTATGTAAAATAATTTCGTATGTAGAATAATAGCGCAATCTCTTAAACAGTTATTTTATGATCACATACACAATCTGTGATAATTATCACTCGCGAGCGGCTTAATAAATCACCGATGAATAGGTTGAATTTCGACGTTGTCATCTTCCGAACGATTAGATCGCACGCAACATTTTCCATATGGTGCTTTGCGAAGAAACTCGATTAATCATGCGAGCTATCTAAAATTGTGAGCGGAAGAGATACACGCGGTTCCTACTTCTATTCAGAGGACATGTATAAATAGCGTGGAGTGCCGACCACAATGCGAGCAAACGAACATTCGCATCACCGAACACCTTCCGATGACAGAGAGTTATTCAGATATTGGCGCAAATATAATTTCCTGTCGAAGGGATATCGGAAAAAGATTTGTCTCGAGATGCGTTGGAAATAAACACCCACGCTTATGTAAAAAAATAAGGGAGCTTGCAAGCGCGCATCGAAAATGAGAGAATTTATTCGCAATACTTATGCGGAAAAATTTTTTCCAAATATTTCAATTGGAATGGCAGTGAAAATTTTTAAGTGAACTCATAAATACGAAGAATGTCGTACGTATTAGAAGAAATAAATTATTAATTCGTGACATTATTATAAAGCATTCGCGATTTATAGGCAGAGATCATTGAAATAAAGCTAAAATGCGAATGCGAAATGGATTCATCCGGAATGTTACACGACCGGAATAAGAACTATTCCCGTCGTCTCCATCAAAGCCCTCCAGGGACTTGCTTATTCTTGGCGGAGAGATTGACTCGTAACACGGTTATCCAGTACTTCGTTTCGCCGATAATGCCAAAGGATCAT